TATGTATCAGTTGACACAACAGAATGAAAGGTGCTAACAAAATTTCCTGTTAACTCATTAGTATAATTTTAAAAGTTATTTTTTATTTTATGTGCAAGAGTATTTTGCTTGCAAGTATACATGTGCACTGTGTGAGCCTTGTGCCCATGGAGGAGAGAAGTGGGTGCTGGGTTCCCTAAAATAAGGATGACTATGAGTCTCCATTTGGGTCCTGGGAACCAAACCTAGCTCTTTTGAAGGAGTAGTAAGTGTACTTAACTGCTTAGGCATTTCTCCAGTTTCTGATTATAGCACACTTTTGGAAAACAAATCAAATCAAAACAAAACAGGCTATTCAGAATATTCTGACTAACAACTCAGTTCAACTCACTTATTTATGTATCTCAGCCATGTAAACTTCCTTGTCTCTATTTCCTTAGTAGTCAAACAGAGATTCTTAGTCTAACTGACTGACTCCTACGGAGAGGAAGCGAAGAATATGAAATCGTATGAAAAATAACTTGGAGCACACAGACAATACTTGTTCCTACTATTTGAAGATACAACTCAATCTCTGTTAATGTCTCACTATAAGTTTATTTAAGAGCTAGTAATTTATTTGTAGATATTATTCACTGAACAGTGGGTCTAGTAGTCAATTCATTAACCTTTTTCCCTACTTCAAACTTAGTTTATAAGTCACTGTAAAAAAGTGATTCATATTATTTAGTAAATGGTTTCTACATACATAAAGAATACTGAACTCAGCTGATTATGTGTAAAAAGCACAATCACAAGATATTTCTTGTTATAAACAAAAAAGAAAGATGGTCTCAAGAACAGAGAGGGGAGAGGGAGAGAGGCAGGTGATTAAAAGAAAAAAACTGCCAACAAGCATAGCCTGAATTGTAATTTAAATGCATCCAGTTAAAAGAAATTGGCAAAAGACAAAGTACGATGGACTTAGTGTGGTTTTCATCCTTCGAGAATTTACCAATCTAAATCTACTACATTTTATAGTGATTATTTGAGAATACCAACATGCAATGAGAACACAGGGCTGTGTGGAAGAGGGGGCAGGAAGATTCTGAGAGCAGAGAACCTTGGAATCTGCTGAGATCATGTCTCCCAGAAATGACAGGGAAGCTTTATCCATGACACCTCAACAACACAGCTGCTTAAATATGATTTGAACAATGACCAATAGACACCCTAGCATGGCAGGGGGAAATTTCATGGGACCCCACTCCTAGATAAAGAGTTATAAGCAACTAAGGAATGAGGAAAGTGGGAAAATAGCCTTCTTATTCAAGGATGAGCTCCCAATTGGTTGGCCTTGAAATCTACACAAACAAGTAAGACTGGATGGACTGAGCAGATTGTATGTACATACCTGCTTATATACACACACAATTCACTAACAGTAACAGAGACACAGGCTATAATTTCAGAGGGAATGGGGGTTGCATCATGGGAGGAACTCGGAGGAAGAAAGGGGAGAAATGATGTAACTATAATTTATTTTAGAAGAAAAGAGAGCTGGACAGTGGTAGCACACACTTTTAATCCCAGCACTTGGGAGGCAGAGCCAGGCGACCTCTGTGATTTTGAGGCCAGTCTGGTCTACAGAGCAAGAAAGAGGATCTAAGCCTGAAAGTTAAATCTTCCTGAAAACTGTGTTGATGTTGGAATGTGTTTGGTAAAAGTATTTAGCTTAAATGACATTTCTATAATTAAGCAAATGAGTTCTATTAACAGAGGAAAGGTTGGAACCAGTTTTTGTTCATTTGATTTTTAGAGGTACAAATTCTCTAGTTCCCAATATAGATAACAGAATGGGGGCTGATGAGATGGCTGAGCAAGTGAAAGTACCTGCCGCCAAGCCTGACGACTTTGGTTTGATCCCTGGAATCCATATGGTTGAAGGAGAGAAGTGACTCTGACATTCTCTCATTTTCACACATGCACACACACAATTAATGTGAAAAAATTTAGAGGCAAAGTTTTCCTACATTAAAGTAATTAAAAAAATCAAGATACTTCAGCCTAATTATGCTGATAAACTGCTGTTAATAGAGATGTAACCATTATGGTATCACTCAATAAGTACACACCAGTTCTTAAATATCCATGGATACCAAAACCTGTGGATGCTCCAATCTTTTATATAAAATGGTATTTTTCACGTAACTATGCATTCTCCTGTATACGTTGTAATTTTCCATTCTTATTACTTATAATCAGCAATACAATGCAAAGGCTGGTTAGCTGTTACACTGCATTCCCACGGGTACAGAGGACTGACTAGATTTGGAAATCAGTGTCGATCATGTTAGCTGGTGTAATGCACAAACTCTGTATTTTAGAATCTGATGCAGTAATTTGTGATTTCTTAAAATAATGTCTCTATGATCTATAACCATGTATCATTGTCATATTATGACATGAGTTAAGAATAGACAAATCATTTAAGTCTGTATCAGTTAAAAAAAAAAAACACTGATTCTAGAGAAGTTTTCCATTAACAGAAAGAGTGAAGAACAGACAGTTACACTCTTTTTCCTCAGCTGAGGTGAAGCCATGTTTTCACAACAAGAAACCGTTAGTAAAGCCACACGCTGTGGGACACCCTGTTAGAGAACCATTTTTTCTCGAGTTGTAAATATTAAATTCTCACAACTATACTGCAAATCCAGTGCTTCCTAAAATCACTTGTCTGGGACCCCAGGTTCTCCTTCCTCACCTTTAGAAGTCTCTAAAAGAGCAGACTTCTCCTTTGTTCCACTGCAAAGAGAGGACAAGGTGAAAACACTCCTATTCAGTGTCTAGAGGGAATGCCCTGTGCAAAGTGGCTAACAGCTTGGCTTTCCAGGTTTTGGAGAAGGGCCCGAGTCACTGAACTTAGTAATTTGGAGTAGACTGTTGTTTGGCATTGGTGATCAAGTGTGCCCTGCTAAAGATAACCCAGTCTCATAATGAAGTGTAACTTTCACACACTTCTGTAGGATATTAATAGTTATACCATTTTATATAATGAAATGACCACTCACTTTTTTTTTTAAGATTATTGAATTACTAGAAGACATTACATTAAAATTCATCATTAGTAGGAATGTTAAAATGTTTGGAAGCTCATGAGTGGGCTTCAATTTTACAATGAAACAAAACAAAACAAAACACTGAGGAACTCTGAAAAGGACAAACCGAAGGCCTACCTTCGAGATTCTGCCTTCATCTTAAAAAATAAAATACAGTAATTGGGGCTGGAGCCATGGTTCAGTGAAAAGCACTGGCTGCTCTTCCAGTCCTAGGGGATCTGATGTCTTTTTCTAGTGGGCACCAGGCAGGCACATGATACAGACATACAAGCAGGCAAAACACCAATACTCATGAGAATAAAGAAAATAACGTGATTCCCCCCCTCCTTTCTAGCTTATTTTAGAGAGCTTTGTTTTGGAGAAAGTATAGTTTTCAATTAAAATATGATACAAGTATGAAATAATATCCACTATTCACACAGTTGTTGCTGAAATTATCACTGAAGATCTTCATGATCACTACTGAAAGATTACAAACTATCATCATCATGGTCAGACTGAACGATGTGAAGAGAAACAGTCGGGTTTACCCATTAACTGCTATCAGATGAACCGACCCCAGCCCTGGCTGACCAAGGCAGCCAGCCTCAGACTTAGTTTGCAGGTGCAATGGCTTGCTTGCCTATCAGCCCAGCACGCACACACAGGACTCGGGAAGAGTTTCCTAAGCCTGAAGTCAGCTCTGCTTGACGGACAGGCAGGCAGTTTCTCCAATGGCTCCACTAAGTCAGCCATTGACGATGTTCCCTGATCCCTGGTCTAGAGAGTTCAGCTGAACTTAACTGGCCAAGAAGCTACAAAAAGAAAGGTTAAGTTATGTTATGATTCATTTGGATCAACGATAAGGTACTTTATAGACACTTAAAATACTAGATGGCAAAGTGTCGTCATTTCCTCTCAAAGACTTGTATTTTCACCAGTCCATACTTTGTACTTATCTTTGGAGGTTACCTCCTGTGTAGAGGAGATTGAACTTTAAAATAGGAACAAAAAATAATAGATTCAAAATTAATAATTCACAGAAAATACAAAATGTCATTAGGTTAAAATATCAAGAATAGTCTTCCCACTCTTCGGGCTTTTAAAACACAGAAATTTTATTTATAAAAAGAGGATTAAGTGCCAGCAGGTGATGGTGCATGCCTTTAACTCCAGCACTAGGGAGGCAGAGGCAAGTGGTCCTCTATGGGTTCGGGGACAGCTTAGTCTACAGAGTGAGTTCCAGGACACCCATGGCTACACAGTGAAACCCTGCCTCAAAAAAACCAACCAACCAACCAACCAAATAAACAAAAAAAGGAATGAAGTAACCTGCTCTAATTTATATATATGATAGTTACTTCAATATATACTTCATTACTTCAGATTAAAGACATATTTAACAAATATGAAGAATGAACAGAACGTAAGAGAAAGAAAAGGAAACTTCCATGGAAAGAAACGGACAAGGAGGCAGTAATCATCTCTTTCTCGTACACCCAAGCCAAAAGCTCTTGACGAGAAAGGAGTTAAAACGTGTATGGGAAAGGAAGAATGAGTTTCTCTACTTTTAAATGTCAAGCCTTCATTAAAGTTTTAAGAATTTATCCTTTAAAGCAACAGACCTCTACTGAACAAAGGGGAGATGCCACTATCTGTTTCTACTTTGGGAATTTGAATTTCCTGCTTGGATTCTATGTCTTGCATGAAGTACCATTTAGTCTGACTACAGCAATGAACCACGCTACCTAACTGGGAGGCAGGGTACCATCCTACCACCAGCAGCATGAGCCACAAGTGCATGCTTAAATAGCTCATGAATTACAACTTGTCAAAACATGTAATATTCTTACCTATGAAAACAATAAAGACAGAACAACTCTACGCTTTTTGTAGTAATGAATCCCATGAAACACGAGTTTCATTCTGTTAGGAAAGACCTACCTGAATAGCTGAGTTCATGAAACACGTATTTCCCAAGTTACTTAAGCCACAGAGGCCTGGCTGTTCATTGTTTCTTCCAGGTTCTGAATAATCATAGTTCTTATAAGCAGTATATGATGGGAGACAGTAATTTGAGTTTTTCACACTGGAAGAAAAAAAATTATAAAAATGTAGCCAACTGCATCACAATAAAGAGTACTTTAAGCATATGCATGAAATATGTGGTTAATCATTAAGTATATTTTACTGAACACTCAACCGGTACATTTTGAGATACCACTTTCAAAGTAACCTCTTTAATAATTAAGGCATTCTTTATCCAAGCAACAAAGCACCATATCAGGAGCCACATCACTCACTAAAACCCACTATCCTGGCGTTCTACCCTGGATTAACGGGAGCAGCGTCATATCAGGAGCCACATCACTCACTAAAACCCACTGCCCTGTAGGTCTACCCTGGATTAACGGGAGCAGTGTCGTGGCTTGCTCCACTCTGCATTGCTCCATCAAAATGAAAACATTCAGATTTTAAACACCACCCGCAGCAATAAATCATCTCATTAATGTCTCTTTAAGTTAGCCTTCTATGGTAAGAGTGAGAACTTCAGGACCCAGAAGAGTTGGGCTTTAGTTACAGATGAACACTGCGAGGCCCAAGGCCACTGTGACATCACTGTTGAGATGCGCTCAAGATTCTGTTTATAGCTTCTAAGCTAGACTAGCAAAATCTAGTACTGAAATGCAGAGAACGGTCTCTCATCAGGAATCAGAAAGGAGCATGTGCTAGGAGATCCAAGCATTACTACTTGCCTTTTTTCTTCTAGCTGCTGCAATACTGCACTTTAACTTTATAAACAAAACAAACAAACAAAAAAAATTGACCAGTATAATAAATGTTAAAAAAAAACCTCTATAAGTTAGGAAATCAGAATAATTTTAGAATTAAGAAGTCAATAAGTTAAATCTGTTATTTTTATGTAAGTTTATGAGAAAGATGAATTCTTAATTTTTATAGGGTAGCTATTTTATAAGAATACTTATGAGTACTTTGGAAACAGTTCAAAAAATCATATTTTCAGTCCTTTTTGCTCATTAGGATGAACCTGGATGCAAATCAAGGTCATGGGATAAAAGTAAATGATGGTATAAAATAAAATGTAGTTTTACAAATAAACACAATAAATCAGTAACTCAAATAATAAAGACTGGCTATAATTGATTCCTGATATTTAATTTCCTCATAATTTCAAATATTCCATTTTGTTATTCTATACATTACACTCCCGCTAGATTAGAATGGTTTACGTGAACTACAGCACTGCTTCGTCTACAAAGGTTTTTTATAAACATATGCACACCACACCAAACAGACAACAGGAGACATGAAACAGCCCAAGAGTAGACACAACTGTTAGGGAGCCTCAGACATCAAGAGGCCCAGAGGTCATCAAGGGCAGATCCTTTCACTCACGGTCAGCTTTTGCAGCACTTTCATGGTTAATACACTAATTTTTAAGAAGGGAAAATACCCCAGTTCTTGTCTTTAGGTTTAGAAACACTACTCAGAGCTTGGTTGAGGCACACATTATAGGAAAGTTCCTTCTGCCTTGTAAAGTACAGCTATTTTTATTTAAAATCTTTTTCTTTACTTATTTTGAAATCGACGTTGTTAGTGAATTTGGTCAACAGAATGTGATCTGAGTTTTATCTCTGGCCCTGAGTGGAGACAACATTCTAAACAGTGGTTCTCAACCTGTGGGTCATGATCCCTTTGACAAACCTCTATTTCCAAAAAACATTTACATTACGATTCATAACAGTAGCAAAATTACAGGTATGAAATAGCAATGAAAATAATTTTAGGGTTGGGGGGTCAGTACAACATGAGGAACTGTGTTACAGGCCAGCATGTAATGGAAGGGTGAAAGCCATTGCCTAATGAAGGTTACAGGATTACAAAAGTCACTGCCCCTTCCTACCACTTCAAGAGGAAGGCCATGCCTCAGGAAAGCTATTGTGTCTGAAGACATGTTGACATGATTCTCTTCTCTAATCAGACAGTCCTATGGACACCAGAGGACCTGCTTTGATGCAGCTGCTTATAGATCGTCACTGCCAAGCCTGTCCACTCTCCGACCTGTCATATTCTCTCTCTCTCTTTTGATACTATCCTAACTCCTAAGCACATTTGCGCCAGCAGTCAGGGAAGCTCATTTTTTCCAGAAGGACTCCATACCTCTTACAGCTCATTTGCAGACTTACCTCTAACTCAGACAAGCACACTTCTCCCCTTACCCAGTTCCATCCCCATAGCTGAAGCTGAGACTTTCAGCTTGGTTACCCTCTTGTTTTCTCTTCCACTCTAATACAATCCCATAAAACTCGTCTTTAGATTTCTCCTAAGTGTGTTTGATCAGACTATGACTATTTTTAGTGCTTAAAAAAAAAAAAAATACGCCCCCCTCTTAGCAACAACAAAAATATCAACTCCCTGGCTTTCCAAAAAGAATCCACTCTAAGATTAAATGAAAATATCAAGGCCCAGAGAAATAGAACCTTGATGAAATAAAACTCACAAACACTGGACTTATGGTTTTTGCTTTGAATTTAATTACAAATAGATAAACAGAATTCAAGTTTCTTTTTTAAATTACTAGCCATCTAACTTATATTTTCTTTTGTTTTATAGTCCTAGTAAGTAAAAAACTTACCAAGTATCTGTTAGGAATTTAATGTATCATCACTCAGAATGTAATTAAAATCAAGATCTCCTATACAGTTTTAAAAAATGTTTATTTCTTAGACATTTCTACATATGATAGAGTAGAAAAAACAGATACACCCTGGCTGTGAAATTTAAGTAGCCAGAGCAAAAGATCAAAGTACCCTTACTACATACTCATGAGTGCTCATGTGCGTGCATGTATACACACACACACACACACACACACACACACACACACACACACACCAATTAAAGCACATTTACATGCTTATCCCTGAAGTCTATATTCAGCTGTCTTTCCTTACATGTAACATAAATAGATGCTGGAATGTTTTTAATTCATTAGGACAAACATGAATGAAACCAAGGTCTTATGCTAAAGTTAAAACAGATTGTTTCAGAATGCACTAGACTCTTTACTTACTCTGAAATGGGAAAACCTTATATGCAAAGCAGTTTTCTAGTTGTTTTAAAAAACCTGAATCTCTTCAGAGGTGTCTATACTTTGGTTTAAATGCAGGATCAGTATAATGCTTACCCAAAGACTAAGACAGTCTACATGCACAATGCTGATCCATGTTATGCATTTTAACTGCACAGAAGACTTGTCCTGGTCAGTACAGAAGCTAGCAGCCGTCTGCATACCCGACAGAATACTTGCAAACTTGAAAAGCTTTCCTAGGCCCCATGGAAGCTTCTGCTTCTCTTTTTTGCTAACGATTGGAAGGTAGTCATCATCTTTAAATACTATTTTGAAAGATTAAGTTTACAGAAGCATTAGTAGGAATTTTAATACTGTACTGAGTCAATACTGTATTGTAAATCCTCTTTAATAGCGATATGTGAAAACGGAAAGTTTTGTACATCTGACTTTTTAACTTTCCGATTGACTTTTCAATTAGTATTGGTGTCTGACATCATAAACATGTATGTAATCATGCTCACTTCACAGTTAACAAAAACGTGTTCACCTTGGTCATTCAGCAAAAACAGATGGTAAATTCTAGATCACAATGTCTATGGTTATTGCTATGACTTAATCTCATACAAGGTATCATTTTAATTTCAAAAGAAACAGACAAATTAACAAAACACCTATTTTGATAAGGAATGTTAAAACCTAGATCATTAAAATAGCTTTAATAGCAATGTTAGTAATATCATCAAATACAATAAAGCAGAAAAATAAAGGCAATGAAACCATTAACAGTTAAAAAATTAGCATATTTAAAAAATGTTCATTAATTGTAATTGAGGCAAAAATATTTTATGACCTAAGAAGTAACATTACTGTACAGGGTAAATGAACTGTATTCTAAAAACAGACTTCACAGTTTTTTAAATAAAAACATTTTATTAAACTTAAATTGTGAGTGTACTTTATCACAGTTATAATAAAACTGTTATCTCTGGAAATGAAACTTTACCTCTTAGTGAAGTATCAGTTTATAATAATTTTAGTCTTGGACTTGTAAATATGTTTCATATAATCCTGTGTATCTTCTGTTCTTAATATATAATTAAGTCTGCAGTATAATCACAAATTTTAATATACTATTTAATTCTGTAGACCACATCCACATACATGAAGTTTGATACTCCATTCCCTAGAGAGGTCTCTATCTTGTTGACCGACGTGTAGTGAAACTACACTATTTCCCTCTAGTCTTTGCCTACTATTGATTTCCACAAGTCAAGGAAACTGAAGAAACAAACCTTATGTCAAATAATTACTTAAATGTATTAATTCAAGTTTTTAAAATTAAAACAAAACAAAGCTTCCTAAATTACTTCTGTTCATTACTCAGAAAGGGAAGCCATACATACATAGGACTTACTTTCAAGCTCACAAATGCTCACAGCAGTTCCTCAGGAGGGAGTTCCTACCATAAGTCCCTAAAATAATCTCCAGTTTCCCTCAGGAGTTTCTCTTTTCAGTGGTTGAGACTAGAGCACACTATGATCTTTTTTTTTTTTTTTTTTTTTTTTTGGTTTTTCGAGACAGGGTTTCTCTGTGTAGCTTTGCGCCTTTCCTGGAACTCACTTGGTAGTCCAGGCTGGCCTCAAACTCACAGAGATCCGCCTGGCTCTGCCTCCCGAGTGCTGGGATTAAAGGCGTGCGCCACCACCGCCCGGCTTTTTTTTTTTTTTTTTTTTTTTTAAATTTATTTATTTATTATGTATACAGTGTTCTGCCTGCATGTGTCCCTGCAGGCCAGAAGAGGGCGCCAGATCTCATTACAGATGTTGTGAGCCACCATGTGGGTGCTGGGAATTGAACTCAGGACCTCTGGAAGAGCAGTCGGTGCTCTTAACCTCTGAGCCACCTCTCCAGCCCTTTTTTTTTTTTTTTTTTAAATATGAAGGAAGAAAATAAGACAAAAACAGAGAAACAAGAAACCACATATACCAACACAATGACTCCAGTCAAAATACAGTCTATAGTCAATACTCGTTAGACATGTTAAAACTGCTTTAAAAATGAATATAAGGGCATAAGTTTTATAGTAGATGTGGGAGCCATCTGCATGCAACTGGTACAAACATAAAATTTTATCCCCTACAAAAAGTAATTTTGATAAATGAAAATACATGTAAAATACAAACTGGGTTATAAAATATTTCTTTCTTGAGAAGCCCTTCCTGCTGGTAGTATTTTTATGTGGAAGAGAAAGCAATATAACATCTGGATAGTCACACCTTCATGCTTTACTTATTATACTACAGTGTAATACTAACATATAGTATATATAATTCTTATGAATTATGACATGAAGATATGTTTTAAGCTTGCTTAATCTGAATAGGGAAACTTATTACTAAAGAAATGTGTCACTATTACAGCTACTCAGAAGAAAGCCTTACACGAATAGATATAGTTTAATTTTTTATGGTTGTAACTTACAAAACTAATTAGTGGGGAGCTTGACATGTAAAATATTTATACTCAATTCCTTTTATTACCCAGTTATATTATTTAGTTTTCTGTTTCAGGAAATCTCTAACCTTTATGAATTTGATATCGATCTTTTTTTTTTTAAAGTGTTTTTATTTTTCTTAATTTCTTTACCTTCTTTTAAATGCTTGACAATAATCTTGGATTGAAGGTTCTAGAAAGCTAGAATATCTTTCGGATGGCATTTCTTGAATAACTGAAACATTTTTCATTGCTTAGAATGTTTTGTGATGACATCAAATTCTTTTACATATAAAGACGTTCTGGGTTGTCTGACTGCATGTGTACTCTTGGATGAAATTGTGCTGTTTACATTTTCTATTTTTGTAGTGTTACTGAACTAACCTTTCTCATTATTTTTCCCCTTTAAAATAGTCTTAGCTATTATCATCACTTAAAATCTAGATGTGTCAGGGTCACTTTACCAAGTTCCTACAAAACATGAGGATTTTAACAAGGAAATTAAACTCATAAATGTAATTACTCATAAACGTAATTATGATTTATGATTATTTAAAAAACACCTTTAGTGTTTTCAAATTTATGAATTGATAAATTAGATGCCATTTGTGAAGTGCACTAATGTGTAAGCCATCTGAACTGTGAAAGTAACACATAACCACAAGGTGCATATCATACCCATTAATAAAGATGGATAATCTATTTGGATAAAAGTTCTCATACACTGATTGAGCAAATTACAATGAAAATGGTTTTCTTTTTACTTTTTCACTAAGATAAAAATGGCATGTTTTGCTAGTGAGATAGTTCAGCAGGGAAAATGCTTGGCAGATAAGCCTGGTGACCTGATTTCCCCCTGAAGCCCACTGCAGGTGGAAGGGTGAGTGGACTCCACAGGAGTGTGATTGTCCAGGCAGCACAGCCAGAGTCAGATGTTATAGGAAGGGCCCAGTTGACTTTCAGCTTCTTAAAAAAGCAGTTAAGCACATATTTTCACAAACTACATAATTTTAAATATCATGTATTGTGGAGAAAAGAAACTATTAAGAAAAACTGCTTTTTCTGTAGGCTCTGTTCTCCAGCTAAGAATCACTGACACATGGGTGGGTGATTTATATGGGTGACTATCAGACCAAGGTGACACATGAGATTTATATTCGTCCTATCAACTTGAGTTGTAACAAAGTCCTATGAAAATCTCAATAATTAGAATCTAAATTTTAGAATATAAAATTCTGAAAGCTCTATTTTTCAGCCAACTCATATACTATCCTGTATTAAATCAAGTAGTTTTTAAAATGTGTTTTATTTCTAGTGAAGTGATTCTTGGAAGAACTGACCAGTGATTTAAGAGAAAGCACATTTTGATTCATGAAGACTTTTACCCTAAATTTGCAACCTTAACAGGGCCAACCAGTCAGAGAGAGAGTTTAAGATGCAGTGCTTACTTTCTGCTGTTGATGTTGTTATAATTATTTGATAGAGATGAAGGAGAGATCTTTGGTAAAGCTGAAAAATTGGATGCACCTGGGGACCTTTAAAAATATGAAAATGTCAAATTAGATAAAAAATGAAGAATTACAAAATTATGAAATAAAGAAAAGAAACAGATGACAATGTTTGTAATAAATGAATGCTGGAAAACAGGTTTTATGGTCAAAATAATTATATATATTTTGTTTTTAATTTTCAATATATTTTTCCTTTGAAGTACAATAGTACACAAGGGAACTTTTTCAAACAATATTTATGAAATTATAAAACTTGCTATTATTCTTATAAATCCACTAACTCAATATAGTAGTCACTTCTCAGGGTAACAATTACTAGTATCTTACAATCATTTTCTGTACTTTTAGCGGAGTGAGGCTCCTTCACTTCCTTAGTAGGCACCAGGACACTGCAGTTACACACAGTACTGACACAGGGCTCAGAGGACGTTAACCATTCATTAATCTTGAAGTCAGTGGGGAAAGAAGAACAAAAGAAAAGTCCACACATAATCCCAAAATACAGTATTGGGCCAAAAGTGTCTCTGAAAAAACCTGAAGACCATATATATGACTATATGATACACACTTCATTAATTCAGAATCTTTCAGGGCGGGGAAATTTCTACCATGACTGGCTTTTAGATAGTAAATGTTAAAGGCGGACAGAAAAATCAATAAATCTATTACAAAGAAATAAAGTACATAAAGGCGTCTCAAAGATTCAATTTTCTTGAGTTCTGTAAGCATTACATTTCCTATGGACTATCTAGCTGGGGGCTGGGAAAGCTGTGCTGTGCCAACTCAGTCACAGTACACTAAACGAGGCCCAAAGTGATGCATGGGCTTTTAAAAACTAATCTCCTCCACTTGGGTGCTAAACGAACAGAGACTCGGTCAACAGGCAGGACAGTGTAATCCACAAAACTTACTTCAAGTAATCTGCATTTAATCTTTATACACACACATGAAATAAGTGCTGGACAATAAAATTTCTTAAATATAAGAAAAATTAGACTTCTGAAGTTCAAACGTTAAAAAAAATCCTAGTAAGAACTGCCTTTCTTTGTGAAAAAGGTTCTTTTTACTACTGAAAACTGCATATTGATGCGCTCCTGAAGTCAGATACCTTCCCAACAGGAGCCTCTGCACAGGAAAGTATGTCCCAGGATTGTATTGTACTAAGCTAAAATAGAAATACAATCAGCTAAGTTTTAAGAGCACATACAGTCAAGGACACACTTTAAAGCTTGAATGCTGCTAATATTTTACCTAGTACTTTTCAAACATTAATTAAAAGAACTCTTTTGCCTTTTGATAATTAAAGTTTGTTTGTTTTTGAGATAGAGTCTCAATACAGAGCCTCTACTAGGCTGCCCTCAAGCTCAGAGATCCACCTGTCTCTGCCTCTCAAGTTCTGAGTTGAAGGTACAGTACATACCACTATACTGGCCACTATAAGAATTTTTAAGTAGGGGAAAAATCTAATAGGGTTAGAATTTGAGTTGCAGCAATGAACTGAATATATTAATTTTTCAAAACTTGATTCAGCACAATTTTCCAGAAATCCCTTCTACTTTATTTTCAGTTAAAGTATGGAAATAAAAATATACTTCATTTAATCAAGCAGAGACATATGTTTACACATGCATTTCCTAACTGTCTAGAGCTTTTACTATTGAGGAGTAATTGAACTTATAGGTTATATTAAAAAAGGAAAAAATATCATAGAGTTAATTTGCATTTTCATAGTAATTTCTATGAAGTTCACTCAACCACTCAACATGAATTAAACAATTCTTATATGCTTCATTTTTAGGGCGTCTGAGATTATAAAAAGATACAGTTCTTGATCTCAAGCAGGTCTGCAGTCTAGAGGGGAAGAATGACATCAGTACTAAGTGCTTTAACAACTTCTAATACAGAACTCTCTAAGTGGGACAGGAAGTAGCTTAAAAAATGATATGCAGTAAGAAGTATACGTAGGAGTTACGAATATTTAAGGTACAAAGAACAGTATATGCAAATGTGTGGGACTATAGAAACAATTGTGTTTGGAGAATTAACAGTCAATTGACCCTGGCTGAAATAGGAGGTATACAGTGGTAAGAAGAGACTGCAGTCAGATATGTATGATAATAAACAGCCTTTTGTGTCCTGTGAAGGAATCAGAATTTCACCCAACTGATGGAACATATTACAGATTTTAATAAGGACCATCGACACAATCAGATTTATATACCAGTAAGACTACTTACTGGGGGAGAGAAATACAGTAATGAACAGAACATAGATTACGAAACTATCAAGCTGACAAAGGGGGGATTCAATAAAGGGTGAAAACTAAGAAAGCGGAGTGAACATGTCTGTATTTAAGAAGCAGGTCAAAAAATATTGTCCACGGATACAGGGAACCAAGGACAGAGACCCTTTCATGGCATCTGTGAGGTTAAAATTATTTTCTTAATACTGAGACAGTATTAAAATGTCACTTGGTAGCTTTTTCTGGATATTCAAAGTCAAGGTTAGGTCAAACTACTGGCACATGTACATAGATCAAAGAACACTACTACAATCTAAGAGAGAAAAACAATTTCACCTAAGAACATCATCTCGACAAAGCAAATCAAAATTGTATTAAACCTTGACTCTTAAAAACCCTTCAAAATTTATTTTTAATGATGTCTAGGTATGTGAATGTGTGTATAGGTATGTGCACGAGACTGCAGGTGCCGTGGAAGGAAGCGGAAGCCAAGCATGTCAGATCCCTTGACACTGGAGTTACAAGAAGCTGAGGAGGACTGAAGAGGGAGGAGCTGGGAACCCAGCTCGGGTATGGAGGAGAACATGAGCACTCCCAGCTGTCACTATGTCTGCAGCACACTCTGCTTCTTATACATACTGCCTGGCCAACCAGAAGGCCGCATGCAGCAGACGACACACTCCACTCAGAAGCCAAAAAGCTAATGTGAACGCTAATCTGAACTGCAAGTGTAACTTGTCACTCAGCATCACTCTCTCTAGTTTGTGTGTAAAGAACTGAATGACTTGTTGATCTTTTGCTTGTATATAATTTAAGGCCTTCAGCTGTGAAGACCTAGGAGACATTTTCTTAAAAACAGGTAGAAGTCTGACAAGTGAAAATATTACCAATGGTGACAAAATCTGAACTTCCAAGTAAAATCTCTGTGAACGCTGACTTTCCAACCACAATGTTAAGTTCAGACTTTTCTCAAAAAAAATGATTTTTTAAAATGTGAGTTTATAAGAAAGTTACATTATGAAACGTATCAGTGTTCTGAAGGTCTGCATAACTCAGTGAATATTTTTCAATTGACCATTATGCACAGTTAAATATAGATTTTAGTGTAAGGCTACAAGTCATTGATATTCTTCAGATCTCCATTTTGCAATCAATCTTTTGAAACTTATACCCCGTGTCAAGTTTTGATTCATGTGAAGTTCCTTCAACTACATGCCTATTCAAAGCTGAATTCTCCCATGCACTTCATCCAGTCCATCATAGTGAACTACATGCAGAAGTCTGACAGTAGCTGTCACCACGTAACCAGGTAGTCTGAGTACATTAAGCACACTTCAGGTTAGGTGCCATGCCCAGCAGTAGATGGCCAACAGAAAATAAACATAATGATACTTTTGTAGACTTTTTTTTTTTTTTGGCCTCATTTGGCTTTGTTTTGGCTTTTTTTTGTCTTATTGATCTTTTGCTTGTATATTATTGTTTCTATTTTAAATGTTTTGTGGTTTTATGTGTGTTTTTCTTTTGTTTGCCTAGCAAAAGTATTTTAATGCTACTTTGTAAAGACCTTCATTTTAAAAATAGTTAACTTTATAAAAATGTTACTGATGTTAAAATGTAATTGTTAAATAGTTACTCACAAATATTTTACATTTTAATGTATTACAATAAACTGATAAAACCCACATAAAAAGAAGTTCTTTGAACCAAGCGGTGGTGGTGCACGCCTTTAATCCCAGTACCTGAGAGGCAGAGGCAGGTGGATCTCTGTGAGTTTGAGGCCAGCCTGGTCTACAGAGTGAGTTCCAGGACAGCCAGGGCCACACGGAGAAACCCTGCCTCAAAGGGGGTGGCTGGAAACTTTGAAGACTAACAGGATAGTCTTCAAAGACTAATAGCACTGCTTAGGAAACACCGTTTCACAGGGGGTACCTGCGAGATGTGCAGGTTAGAGGAGAAAAGTGACTGAGGAACTGGGAGCCTGGAATGGAACCCGGTAAACCAATACAAGAAATGCATATATTTAAGTATGCAAAATAGAGAACAAATATCCGGTTCAACCTGATGTGGTGTCATGTATGATATTCAGGAAGAACAGGAATTTCGATGAAATGAGAAGTCTTAATACAGATGTTTATTAACACTGGCTTGCATTAAGAGAAAGCTGATATTAATACAGCATCTGTGAACTGTTTCCTGACTTTGGGTGCCTATTATGGATGAAAGAAGATCTTTATATTCTAAGGATTATTAATATATTTAAGACATAGCATAGCTGCTGCATAGACTCAGTGAAGCCAGGAAGAATCTCATACATTACAAGTGAATGATTCTCCCCAGAGAAATTAGGACTTTATTAAATTGGGAATGGTACTAAGGACAGTTTTGGAAAAAGCTACCTGTCTAGAATGCTGGCAGGGGTGATGGTAGTACACCAAAACAAGAAAACCAAAAAAGAAAAAACTCAAAGAAGCATTGGAGGAAATCAATGGTTTATTCTCTAATGTGGTGGATTTTCTTATGTTCATGAGAAAATGACATTAGAAGGGAAACAAATAAATTAGTACCTACTATATGCATAGGAAAAAGGAATTAATAAAAGAAAAAGCAAAGAAAAGTCTAGGATGCATTGATACAAAAACATAGGTAAATGTTTTCCTTAAATACCAAGGAAATTAGAGCAAGAGTGATGCATGTAGACAACAGATAAAGAATTACTGATAAATGAATACAGTTCATGTTTTCTGACTAAACTTCTGAACCATATTTCACATAGCTCATTCTA